ACTTTGCCGCCGCTATATCTCGTCTTGACATTGATGTGATGTTTGATGTCTCCTCTTCCCCTTCGCCCTTCACGACTACAGAGATGCTATTTTGGCTTTATGCTGATGTATACTGCAAACTGATTTAGTTTCTTCATCGTATGACGTTCTCTATCTTTGGAATGGAACTAGGGTAAACATCGCAATGCCATCCGCTCGAGGCCGCCGTTTCCCCACGTGGCGGTCCCTGCATCCCGCTGCTGCCCCACCGAGGGGTAGTTAGGTAGCTCTGGCGATTGGAAGCTATACAACAACATAAAACAGCTTCAGTATTCTCCGCTAGTATACCAAACCTCAATTCTCTCTCCCCACAACAGAAGCCGTCGAGGAAGACGACAAACACAATCAGCATGGCCGACGTAAACCTCAAAGAAGTTCACGACTTCATGATCACCATCGCCAAACAAGCCGGCTCGCGCATCACCTCCGCAACACCCACAACACAAGGCTCAGGCTCAAAGAAGAACTGTAAGTAGCACCTCATCATCCCAGAACCCGATCCAATCCACGAATAACCTCCCATACTAACCCTCCTCACCCCACAGCTGTCGACCTAGTAACCGAAACCGACCGCGCAGTCGAAGCCCTCATCTCCACCTCCCTCTCCACGAAATACCCAGATTACGCCTTCATGGGCGAAGAAACCTACAAGCCAGGCGACACCCTCTCCGCCGACCCCACCTTCATATGCGACCCCATCGACGGAACCACAAACTTCGTTCATCGCTACCCCTACGTCAGCATCTCTTTGGGGCTCGCCATAAACCGGGAGCCGGTGGTGGGAATCGTGTACAATCCGTTTACACAAACGCTGTACTCGGCGATTAAAGGACAGGGGGCATTCTTGAATGAGACGACGAGACTGCCGCTGAGCGAGCCGACGAAGTTGGATGGCTTGAGCAGTTGTCTTGTTGCTGTGGAGTGGGGCAGTGATAGGAGTGGGAATGATTTCAAGGTCAAGAGCGAAACTTTTAAGAAGCTCGCTGCTACAAAAGAGAATGGAGGGGGTATGGTGCATGGATTGCGGTCCTTTGGCTCTGCGGCGCTCAATCTGTGTGGTGTGGCGAGTGGTGGGTTGGATGTTTACTGGGAGGCTGGGTGTTGGGCGTGGGATGTTTGTGCCGGATGGGTCATTCTGAAAGAGGCGGGCGGCATTATGGTGGATGCGAATCCGGGGAATTGGAATCCGAAAGTTGAGGGACAGAGGTATATGGCGGTCAGAGGAGGAGAGGGGCAGAAGGAGATTGTTGAGGAATTTTGGGGGTTGGTCGAGGGGGCTTTTGAGGTTGGTACGTAGAGAACACATCCCTAAGGTCATGTAGACTTCTGGGTTATTTGATTTTGACAGGTTTATGGTTCTCTCTTCGAAATACCTAGGTAGATGAGGTTCATGACCAGACTTTCTTGCCAAGGACGCCCGGTTTGAAACAACCCAAAAAATCTTACTATGCGTTTAATTGTAGTTTGGGACGAAAGATGCAGGAAGGTGAGCGTTCTTCCCAGACGCGACCCCGGGACGCGTCCTTATCTTAGCGCAATCTCACACCTGGGTAACACACACCTACGTCATCGGGATCCTTCACCCAGAGCCTTGTATTTCACCTCTTGAACTCCTATTGACAATCTCACAGCATTCGTTCTTTCATTCCTACCACCAAGATGCCTACCATACTCGTTGTAGGCGCAACGCGCGGCCTTGGTGCGAGCATCGTACAAAAATACGCAGCAGACGCGAACAACCATGTTCTAGCGACCGCGAGGGCGTCAGAGCCTCCAGAGAACAGTAGGCGAATTCCTACTCCTTGGAGATGCTCTATTGGACTAACCCATTCTAGCAAGCAACATAACATACATCCCCAACGTCGATCTCGAATCCCCACACGCCGGCAGCGATCTCGTCCACTTTCTTGAATCAAACCACATACCACACCTGGACATCGTCATCATAACAGCCGGATACTTTAAGACAGAATCGCTTGAGGAGCCCTCGTTCTCCGCGCAACAGCGCATGTACACCACCTGCGCCATCGGCCCCACCATCCTCGTCACCGCCCTCGCCAACTACAACAGCACGCTCCTCTCCTCTTCCTCCAAGATCGTCTTCGTCTCATCCGAAAGCGGCAGTATAACACTGCGACACGAATCTGAAGGCGGCGGCAACTACGGTCACCATGCTAGCAAGGCAGCACTCAACATGTGCATGAAGTTGTTGAGCATAGATTTGAGGGATAGGGGTATTGCGATTGTCTCTGTTCATCCGGGCTTCATGCGGACGGAAATGACTCGTAATGTGGGCTTTGATAAGTTCTGGGATGAAGGAGGGGCGGTTGAGCCGGATGTTGCTGCGGAGAGCCTGGTGGAGTGGATTAAGTTGTTTGATATTAGTCATACTGGACAGTATTGGGCGCCGAGGGGACCTGGGTAAGTTGTTGTTGATCTGAGATATGTGGAAGTGAGCTAATATGGAATGTAGTGATATTGGTACTGCTGAACCTGTGTTGGGGCCGAAGAGCAAGCTGTCGACTCCTCTTCAGCTGCCTTGGTGAGCGGTCTGACCGGCTGGTGGTGTTGGATTGGTAAAAATGATGACTGATGAACTATCGATATCGTCAAACAAGTTAGGGATGAAGTTTTGAACGATACTCTAAATTATAAACTAATGTTCTACATAAATGACTTTTCCAACGCCTCGCTCTTGAAACATCACTCTAATCGAAAAACAAAACGCTATACGCTATGCTAAAACACCCGGAAATCAGCGCTAGAGTCAGTCGACTCAGTCCTCGCCATGCTCGCACCATCTTCTTTGGTCTCTTCCTTGGTCTCTGCCGGAACCCACTTCTCCGCATCCCCCAAGCGATCCGCCGTAAGACCCGCAGAGCCCGGATTGCGCATACCCGCCTCCAACTGCCTCTGATAACTGATCTGCCTCAACCTCTGCGCTTCCTTGGGGGTAAGCTGCAAGTAGACCTCGACACCAAAAGCGTGCAGCGCAAACGACACCCACAGTGCCATACCGAACGCCGCATTCAACGCAGCCCCCGTGTTCTCCGGACCTCCAACCGCAAACGTCGCCGCGACGCTGGAGACAGCCTCTAGATCCGTGCCGTTGACAAAAGCCGCGCAAGCAGGGTACGAAGACGCTAGATCCACGTTGCCGGCAACTGTTGCAGCGAGCTTTGCGCAGGACCAGACGACGTGGTAGTTTTGCTTAGCAATGACCTGCGCGGCGATGATCATGACAAGTCGAGTCGTGATGATGCTGCCGGCGTAGAACCAACCTCGCAGCATCCACGCTCTGTGCTGCTCAATCTGGAGTCTCTTGACGTTGATGTAGCTGACGATGAAGCAGCCCAGCGATGCCAGTCCAGCGAGTCCAACCCAAGCCTGTACATCGAGCCCGCCGCCGAATGCATGTCGTGCGATCATCAGTGCGCCAACGAGACCGACGATGTACAGCAGGAGTGCAGCATACCCGCCGATGCGATGAACGATAATCCACCTCTTTCGAATAAGCGGCGTGAACTGCAGTACAGCGAGCAGACTAGCCGGTAGCACGCCAGCGAGATGCAACAAGATTCCGATTTTGTACTGGCTAAAGTTGAGGTAGTAGTAGCATTCTCCTGGTGCGGCGCCGTTGCCGCTGGAGCTGGGGCCTGAGGAGGGGCAGAAGTTGCGCGAGAAGTCGAGGTAGGAGACGCGGGCTAGGGCGAAGCCGACGAGTGCGCCGCCGAAGATGAAGTAGAGGAAGAAGTTGTAGGTTTTTGTGAAGCCGAGGGGGTGGATTATGCGTTTGGTGAAGAAGTTGGGGGTGGGGGCTGAAGCGACCATTGTGATGGTTGATGCCGAAACCTTGGAGAGGAGTGTGGTTTGGTAGGTATTTGTAGTGTAGCTGATGGAGACGATTGATTTTTAGTGCTTTAGGTAGAAGCTGATGGAAAGTAGTCGAGGTGATGATGGTTGCTGGTTGTATGCCATCTTCGAGAGAGAGAGTTGGCTTCATGTTATACCAGTTGACCACACACTTTGAAGACGATCACCATGCCGTATTGAGAACATTTCGCGCTGGTATGCAGGAGAAGACGTTTTGTCAGCGGAAGGTACCCAGCGCGCATTAACCCCGCAAAGGGTCCCCATGCGACAGGAGAGTCCCCTTGACCGATTGTTAAGGCTTCGATGCGATCGCAATGGTAATCAAGATATCGCATGGCTACTTCGATCTACACCGAGCTATCTGCGGTGAAAGCTGGGGCCCCTCTGCAGCAGCGCGAGTTGTCGCAGAATCAGCCGAAAGGGGTAAGGCGCGAGGAACCATCATTGGTTGATTGAGATGACATAGTGGAACGCCTGATGCTTAACAACGTGGAAGTCATACAAGCCACCTCCCAAGCATGTCGACCGTCGTCATAGACAAATGCGCACCAATCAATAGCTAGCCCTACAGCTACTACACGCGCTTCACAGCCCTACGAGACTGCGCTTCTTTACCGTTACGCTAGCAGGCAGACGATGTATGTCCATATAGGGAACATTCTGCGCTGAACAGGAGTGACAGCGGACGAAATCCATCGTGCATGCGCCAACTCTAACTTTACGAGATGGTGGGAGTTCCAGGACGCTCCAAAGGCTGCGTGACGTGCCGAAAAAGAAAGAAGGGCGTAAGTGCGAGCGCCTACGAGCAACACCCAAGACGTGAAGCTGATGTGTTTTAGTGCGATCTAGTCCAGCCTGAGTGCGGTCAATGCAAAGAACGCGGGATAGCATGCGGAGGCTACGACTCGGACCGCATCTTCATCTACCAAAAAGGAAGCGGACCTACCCGTCCTGCACCAAAATTAGGACGCCATGCGACGCCTGAGAAGTCTCCCGGACAGCCACCTCGGCAAGGCATGCAAATAATGCAATTCAACCCTGTATCGACTCCAGGAACACAAAAACCATGTTCCATGTCGATACCAATCATGCTGCCTGATGCGCTCGCGAGATCCGCTTACAGCGAGAAGACTATGGCGACTTTCTTGAATATGTACAACCCGCAGGGCGTTATCCACACCACCAACACAGACGCAAAGGAGTTTGTTAGCTTGCTACCCTTGCTTAGCACGCGCGATGAAGCATTACAGATGGCTGCTCTGGCAGTTGGCATAACACAGCTTGGGGTAACTTCGGATAACGAAGCTCTCACGCGGCAAGGAAGGACACTGTATGGGAAAGCGCTCAAGGAAACAGCCGTGGCTTTACAAAACCCCGCTCGAGCGAGTAGCGAGTCGCTGCTTGTTGTACCGCGAGTCATGGCTCTCTTCGATATGCTGTTTGGCGCGGAACCGAATACGACCAACCAGGCGAAAAGCTGGCTCAGTCACTGTGAGGGTGAGCTAGCTATGATAGTCAGCCGTGGCCCGGAGATATTCGCGGAAAACGACGCAGCGCATAGGCTCTTCACTAATGCAAGATACCGGCTGCTTGGTCCTGCCATCCGCGGCAGGAAGCCAACCATACTCAACGAGGAAGAGTGGAAGACGATACCTTGGAAAGGGCGGACCAAGTCATCCGACGACGTTCTCATCGACATCCTCTGCGGTATACCCGAGCTTCTGGGCGCTATAGACAAGTTACAATTCGGAAATCTGAGCGAGCAAGAAAGAGAAGGTTTACAAGTATACACCATAGCAAAATGCTGGACACTGCATTTCGAGCTCGAAGCTTGGGTCAATGCAGAAGCGAACGCCATCTACACACCCGAGATCGTTAGCAACGCAACGCCAATCACCTTTCCCAGCATAGACATTGCTTGTGTCACAGTACGCTACTGGTTGACAGCCCTCTTCCTATACTCCACCCTCGATGTCGCAAGCGGCATCAATCTTTATACCGATACCTCACTTTCGCACCCCGATCGCCCACACCCCCGACCATTTGCCCGCATGATTATGAAGTCAGTCGACTACTTCCTCCAAGAGCAGTTCGGTGTGACGGGTATCATGGCTATATGGATGCCACTGGGCAATTCGCTGTTCTATTTGAATAGAAATCGGATCCCTGACGAGGAATACATAATGAGCATCATGCGGACCTGGCATAAACCCAAGCTGCCGAGTACGATGAGAGAGTTTTTGAAGAGTTTTAGGGAAACGGTTGATTTTAGGACTTTGCTGGCGAAGCCTATGAGCGAGTTGTGAAGGGAAGACGAGCCGATTTGGGCCATCGCAAGTTCAATTAAGATTCACACATGAGCGTTAAGGGTCAAGACGGGCATGGGTAGAGATATAAGACATTATAATTATCTACACACCAGAACCACTATCCTCGCCGTAAAACCAACACCATCGCTATGCACACAAAAAAGCCCCACCGCACCACTCAATCCAGCTCAATAATCCCCGGCCCAAACACCGTCTTCTCCGCAACCTCGCCCGCCCCCTCAAAAGAATCCTTACCCATAGTCACCGCCGCAATCGTCAACCCCTCCATAACAAACTCATCAAACGGAAACTCCGCCTCAAACATAACCCTATCATCTTTCATCTCCACATTCCGCAGCGCCTTGACAACAGGCACATTCTGCCCATTAATCCAAACCAACTTGAGCATATCAATCTCAAACATACCCGCGTCCTTCATCGAGAACGAGAACTTGATGTTCTGGGTCTGCGCTTTGATATCTTTCGATTCGACAGCCAGAGGCTTGAAGCGCTTGAGCGGGATGGTGTTGATATTCGGACAACTGCCCTCCACGACGAATTCTTGGATAGCGGTGAATGCGAAATCGCGGGATGAAGACGTGAGGAAAGGCTGGGCGCTTGGCCGCTTCTTTTGCTCGGCGCGGAAGAAACCTTCTTGAGAGCCTTCGTTTCCTATTACTGATGCTACCGCGTGTACGAGACCGAAATCTTGGGAGCGAGCGAAGAGTTCGGATACTTCTTGTAAAGTACCGAGGACGAGGTCTGTGAATGTTGCTGCAAGTGCGATGGCGCCTTCGTAGTCGACGACCGGGAAGTTGTATTTGCAGCCTTCGATCGGGGCGTTGTTGAAGTGTTTTAACGCGTCGTTGGCGTTTAGGACGTGCATTTCTTCTTGGTTTACGATGGCTTTAAGGGATTCGATTATGTAGCCTTGGCGGTCGCCGAGGTCGTAGCCGGGGAGTTTGTTCGTTACGTTACTCATCAGTTCGGTGAAGAAGGCTACTTCGAAGAGTTCGTTGAGTGCGATGAGTTTGAGGTTTGTGGTGCCATCGGGGCTGAGTGTTGGTGGTGGAGGCCCGTTGGGGAGGGTGCCGTGGCCGTCTTTTTGGATTTGGAGGATGGCTTCTTGGGAGGGGTTTGGGAAGCCGTTTACTAGTGGGAAGGGAGGGTAGTCGCGCTTTGTGAGTGGTGCTGCGGATGCCAAGGTAATTAGGAGGCCTGCGGTCGGTATTATTGAGAAGCGCATGTTGTGTGGTGGTTGGATGAATGAATGAGACTTGAGTGATCGATGCAGGGGAGGAAGACGTATATCAGACAGAATACTGGAAACGAAACAGGGGACTTGAGGTGATACTTTGAAGCCCAAGGCATGTGTTTGTTGTTATACATTAACCCTTCCCTCGTATCGTCTCTGGGTGTTCAGGTCAACGGATGCAGCACTTCCTTGACTTAGCCTCCCACCCTGTCCCACTATTCCCATCTGACATTCGCGCCGCACCTTGATCTTCTTTGCTGTGAATGGCCAACTAAAGCAGTTCACGTCGCGCCACATGTGTTCGGCAATATTCGTGTCCGATATGGATCTGCTGCGCATCAGGACGGATAGCCGCCAAGGCTCAAACAGGGTGAGGCTATGCAGGCGACAAAGGAAACAACATGTGCCGGCACAGAAATAGACTGTTGACCGTATTAGTCGCGGTTGTATCCTGTAAGCGCCGTACTCAAGAAAAGCTTATCTCGCGTTTGAGAAAGCTTGGTCAATACTTTGTTTGAGGTGGTGAGCAGATGGTTCTCTAGGCTACAGTGTCTCGAGTGTCGCAGCAAGAGGAGCGAATCGGATCATAGCTCCCGGGCCAAAGACCCTTGGTTCTGTGGTTCGCATCGAGGTACTTGGTGTTTGAGTGGTTGATGTGAAGTGTTTGGCTCGTTTCGACAGATTTACAATGGCTTGGCGTGAAACGTGGTAAGAGGCACATCGCGACGCGACATACGTTTCTTTCGGCAATCTGTCTACAGCAGTTCAGTACTCCTTCGCGAAGTTTTCGTACTACCCTAAAATGTTCCTCGGGATTCGCAGTTGTGTCCTCATCATTGCAGTATGTGCGCTGGGTGATGGAGTTATCGTCAGGGTATGCAGCTGGATGGAGGGGATGGTTTCGTGAACTTTGCCGGATCCGACCGGCTATCTGTCAACCGCGCTAGAATAGAAGCAGTGCGAGCCACACCTGGGCATGGCACCAAGATATTGAGTCATTCGTCATTACTACTTTCATCGCTGCTATATACGATTCGCTAAGGTATCTACAGTAAAAAGGAAATGTATCATATACATCGTTCAAAGCATCGTAAACGCGGCCGCGCACAACGACAATGCAGCCATCAGTCCAGCACTGACCCTCAGCCCACTCGCCGCATCCTCTTCAGCGCCCTCACCCTTCTGTCCCTCCTCGAATCCATTACCCAGGTACAGAGCACCGAGCTGAGTCAAGCCACCATCGTCATCAAACAGCGCGACGCCATCGCCTGTCCACTCGTTGGCATCATCTGTCCTGAAAGCACCGAACCAGGAGTACCGTTCAACGTAATCCAGCTGATCGAGATACGGCAGTGTGCGGTTCATCATGCCAACGGTATTCTCCTCGTCCTGCTGCGGAAGCGCCATCTCGGTGATCCAAAGCTTCAACGGTTGATCCCTCGTCGAATTCGTGTTGTAGAACTCATCCAGGGTGCCCAACCAGCCTGCCAGGCCATCAAAAGCGCCATACCAATGCACAGCAACGAAATCTGCCGGGCAGCCGTTTTCTGAGTCAATGTCGTAGCAAGACTCATTGAATTTCCGTAACCAGTCAAGACCGTTTGGACTACCCGTTGTACTGGGATGACTGATCAACCAGTTCCTGCCACCTTTGTCGCCATTCCGAAAGGGCACAACGAAGTCGATATATGCTTTCGCAGCATCTTCGGGCTTGATACTGCTACCGCCGCTTCCCTCGGTGCCGTCTGGTTCGTTGAAGGAGAGAAGGTGCTTGCTACTTTGGGGCAAGCCTGCAATCACGCGTTCGGTATTATCGTCTTCCGTGGCGTCTATGCCGTGAATCATAGGCACGAACTCTAGGCTGTCCGCGGGAATGAGGTCGCTGTTCGGGTATGGTGACCAGTTGTAGTACCATGCCAGTGGTGAGTTGTCGGAAGTAAGTAGCCGGTTGTCCGGTACGTGTGAGTCGCCAATGAATGCGAAACCGCGTTTTGAGTCTTGCGCGTATGCGGCGGTAGCGAAGAGTGCGTAGAGAGAGGCGAGGTATGGGGTTTGCCGCCTGTGGCGAGTGGATTGGTGTAGCCGAGCCATGGTTGTGTAGTAGGTGCGAGGTGAAGACTGGTATGCAGCGATGCACGTAAGAACGACTGCCGTTACCAGTAAAGAAAGAGATCTGTAGGAAAAGACGTTTGACAGCGGATAGATCCCAGTCTATACATGACTACTTATCTTTCGACACATTTTGTGGCGAGGTACATGCCCATGCCTGGGCTTGCTGGGCCTGCGTCATCGATCGTGGGAAAGTTGGCTCGGAGCAATTGCAGCAAGGCAAGAGGTCGTATCTGACCGCAACTGACTCGAAGGAAATGATGTGGGATTTGCAGCCAGCCTCATCTCAGATATTAGCGGCATGCATGCTTAGCTGGCCGTTGGGCCTTGCTTAGCTGGTATTCTGAGTTCGAGCTGCCAAAGTTCCCTAGTACGCTAACGCGCATTGCGACTAGCGCAGCCTACGGTCAGCCCCAGGCACACGACGGGAAATCTTGGAATCTCAGGGTCTATCGATGCATGTGGAGGTCAATTCGGACATGCGTTCATAGTTGGTCAAAGCAGCTCGTACCGCAAATTCACTCTAGTAACATTCCTGGAATTCTTGGTCGTACTTAGGAGAAGGTAAACAAGCAGCGCATTCCTTCAGAGCTCGTTCTGAGCATGCGCAGAAGACTGGCTCCGGTGTAAGAAATGGCATTTCGATGAATGCGGCCGGACCTTGAGAGGGATGTACCGCTGGAATCATTCAGCGTCCTGTCATCGCAGAGCAATCAAATACACTGGCGAACATCGTGAACTTGCGACTTGGAAGTCTCGGCTTTGAACATTTGGGAACAGGCCTTGGCCCTATTTATTTTTACGGACCAGACACCGCAGAAATCGAAGTGCCATATCATGAATACATGACGAGTGTGGAAAGACCCTGAATATTCATCGCTCATTGACTCCCAAACCGTGCCCATGCCTTGACCGTTTTCTTCGCCTGAACATCAACTTCCCCTGCTTCCTCTACTCCTCAGAAGCAGTGATGGCCTTGCGGACGGCACGGCCACGCTGCCTAGAGTTCATACGGCGCTCAAGGGTCTGGTTGGACTTCTGGACAACTTCGGCGGCCTCGGTGAGGATGAGCTCGATGTGGGAGGGGTTGCTCATGTACGGGTTGATCTAGGTATGTTAGAGGGGAGTGCGACTGTGGGCCGGTGTGTACATACACGTCCGTGAGCACGGTAAGTGCGCCTTCGCTGCTTGGGGGCCTGGTTGACCTGGATGTGCTTGATGATCAGGTTGCTGGTGTCAAGACCCTTGGTGTCGGCGTTGGCCTCGGCGTTCTTGAGGAGACCGATGAGGATCTCAGCGGACTTGACGGGCCAGCGGGCCTTGGAGACACCGAAAGCCTTGCCTGCGGAAGTCAGCCCGTGTTCCTGCAATTGCCAACATGAATCCATCTCCAACACCCAATAGCTCCTCCTCCCGTGCCAAGTTCCATCTGCGCATTGTGCGAATCGTGGAAAGGGCTACTCACCCTGAGCAGTGCGTCCAGTGCTGCCGGCGTACCGCCTCATGGGGATAGCCTCCTTGTGCTCCAGGACGTTTCCGAGGTAGGTAAGGGCGCGGTCGAGCTTCCAGCCGTTGACAGCCTGGGCGGTCTCGCGGGTGTTCTTGAAGGATACGCGGAGGTAGCTGCCGCGGGCGCGAGCAGACTTTGCGCCGTCAATGGAGGAGGCACCGTAGCGAACCTGCAAGAATTAATTCCATGTTCGTGCGTGCAAGGTCCGACAGTATATCGCGACGGGCAACGTACCATTTTGTCGAGTTGTGCTGTTGTTAGTAGTGGACTGCCGACGTGGTAGGTAATTTCGACGACTTCTCGAGCGAAAGTGGCCTTGATGACTAAGTCGCAGACCCAACCGAAAAAAGCCAAAGTCGCGCCCACGGCATTATAGCGGGCCGCTTGCGCCTCCCGCACGTGATTGGCTGCGCAGATTTGGCGCTACTTTTGAAAAAATGTAGCTCTGCGAACTTCAAAGCTGCACCCATCGCATCTACCGCGACATACCGTACCCACAGCCACTTCAACGCGCACAGTCAACGCGCATATAGTGGAACAGAGCACCCAGAGGTACTTGGGCTGATATTTGTACTCTGCCATCTCAAGACTAACCTCGCGCAGTAGCTTTCGCATTCCATAACCTGCTCGAACTATCCCGACAACTTTTAGCAATGGCTTTCACTCCCAGGTACGACTTCCGCAAGCCTCGAAATCCTATCGCAATATGAGCAATGCGCGACCCGCGGCATGTTGAGCAAGATTTGATTGCAGATACTACAAATCACGACGTCTGCTCGCTCAGCATGCGCGCTGCACATCACGGAGAAGCTTGTTCTTTCTGAGCTGTTTTCAAAACGATTGAGGAACTACGAGCTTCTCCGTACTCATATACGAACACATATCTGCAGCGCAGTTCTAACTTCTCACAGAGGCGGTCGTGGCGGCGGCGGACGTGGTGGATTTGGTGGTGACCGTGGCGGTCGCGGTGGCTTCACCCCCAGGGGTGGCCGTGGTGGCTTCGGCGGAGGTCGCGGCGGCGGTGACCGTGGCGGCCGTGGTGGTGCTCCTCGTGGTCGCGGAGCCCCAAGAGGCCGTGGTGCGCCCCGAGGAGGTGCCCGTGGAGGTGCCCGTGGAGGAGCCAAGGTCATTGTTGAGCCGTAAGTCCCGCCAGCTCAAAAGCGCGCAAGACAGCTACTAACCACTTCTCTAGCCATCGTCACGCCGGTGTCTTCGTCGCTCGCGGAAAGGAGGATCTCCTCGTTACCAAGAACTTGACCCCCGGCGAGTCCGTTTACGGCGAGAAGCGCATCAGCGTTGGTGCCAGCACCGCGCCCAAGGACGGCGAGACCGAAGCCCCCTCCAGCACAGAGTACCGTGTCTGGAACCCCTTCCGCTCCAAGTTGGCCGCCGGTATCTTGGGTGGTGTCGACAACATCTACATGGGCCCTGGCTCCAAGGTTCTGTACCTCGGTGCCGCTTCCGGAACATCAGTCTCCCACGTTGCTGATATCGTTGGACCTGAGGGAACCGTCTTCGCTGTTGAGTTCTCGCACCGCTCCGGTCGTGATCTGATCAACATGGCTACCCACCGCACCAACGTCATCCCCATCGTTGAGGATGGTATGTACTTCGCGTTCCATCTTTCTGACATTCGCTAACAATTCGCAGCCCGTCACCCTCTCAAGTACCGCATGCTCGTCGGCATGGTCGACTGCATTTTCGCCGACGTTGCCCAGCCCGATCAAGCCCGTATCGTCGGTCTCAACGCCGGACTCTTCCTCAAGGTTGGAGGTGGTATCGTCATCTCCATCAAGGCCAACTGTATCGACTCCACCGCTGCCCCCGAGGCCGTCTTCGCACAGGAAGTCAACAAGCTACGAGAGATGGGCATCAAGCCCAAGGAGCAGCTCACCCTTGAGCCCTTCGAGCGTGACCACGCCATGGTTGTCGGTGTTTACCAGCGTTCGCAATAGACGGAATGTTGAGCTACAATGGGCTGACGGCGCTTTTCTGATTTCAAACGATTGCATGCATGTGGTCATATACCTGTACTTTGACGGAACTCGGTGTTCACAGGCGTCAGGAGGGATTTGGTTGTCGTGTTTTGATAAAAGATCTATGGATGCGATTTTTACGTTCACTCAGGTGTAATGTGGTGACATGATTGATTCTATCCATCGTCTCTGATCTCTTGCTTTCCGTTCCCCGGCTCCCCGTCTTTCAAAAGTTTGCGCATTTTGTTTGAAGTCGCCCCTTCCTCAACCGAATCCACAGGCAGGGATATTCCACCTACCATCCCCTGGCCCTAGCGTCGATGGCGAGGGCAAAGAGCATGCCACAGACCTACGAAGAGTTAGAATTGTCGATACAGGCTCTACCACAAGGACTTACCGGTAGCAGAAAGAAGGAAGACCAGACCAGTAGGTGGCCTTTCGGGATTGCAAATCGTATCGCCGCACATATTGACAGAAATACCGGTACGTAGATGCAACCGAGTATGTATTGGAGCCCGGTGACGGCGTCGTTGTCGAGTTTGTATTTCCTGGAGATCGCGTCTACGTGCACAATGACGATGTTTGTAAGGAGAAATAGACTGATCTGAAATGTGTTAGAGCGGATACGGATTTTATCTTCAGCGTACGTACCGGAATGAGCACTAGCCACGCCAACACCGCTGGGAACTTGTTCTCGCTGGTCATGTTGAAGAAGGCATCCATCGCGAACCAGACGTAAACCATGAGGCCACACATAAACTTGAGAACGTCTTCAGCGACCATGGCGTGGACGCACTGGGGGTCGGCGGCTGTAGAGGTAACCATGTTGCAGACGTATTCTTGGTGGTGGTTTGTGTAGAGTTGATGGGGTGTGTGTATGCAAATAAATTATTTATGGGTGAGTGCGTTGCCCAGTTCTGGTTCAGATGGGAAGGTACCGATCTTCTGCCACGTGGGCTCGTTACCAACCTTGGAAGCGGTATCGTTGGACTGAGGAAGTAGCTACCCTCTCATCACTCACTTTCATCTCCTCGAATGTTTCAACAGATCGGGAAGGGGCGGCTGCACTAGAAATGTTATCATGGGGGTGGCTCTGCTTCATCATCATGCCGCGTCTCATGCACGGAAAACACTGAACACCCCAGAGTCTACATCTACGCCGGATTTTTACATCTACCTTGTATCTAGTTTGGCCTATTATAGTGCAGTCTACACATCTGCTCAGGTTCATACTTGTGTGAGGTGGCCGTACGCTCAAGATGCTGAGCTTCCCTTCACTCGACATATGATTAGCCAAAGTGGCCCCAGATTTCACGAGAATGTGATAGTATCAAGTATTGGTAACATCATATCACTTTTCCTGCGAACTACTTTTGATCATCGTACTCAAAAGGTCTGGTTTATGGTTGAGTTGTACTCTAGTCGTACTACATTTGGAACATAAATTGTCTTCCCTTAACAACTGTACAACATAACACAATGTGAGTCTTTGGCCTAGAAATTTGAGTAAGGGTAAGACCCGCAAAAATGAGATCCTCGTAACGATTTCCGATTTCAAGATCTCGTGCAGCACACGTCGTGGCGATAAACGATGTGTTGAGGCGTGACGTCAGAGCAACGTACTTAAACAAACAACACCTACGCGAAGTTCACACCCCGCGAACACGTCTCCATACCGAACAATACCAACTACACATTTCAAGACCCTCAAGATGGCAGGCCAAGCACCAGCTCCTGCGCTATACAAGAACATCATCATTTCAGGTGGTGCACGAGGCATCGGCCGAGCATTGACTCGGATGATGCTCGAAGCTGGCCACCACGCCTACATCTTCGACATCGATGAGAAAGAGCTCGAGCACACCACCAAGGTCCACCTCAAGCAGTACTACGCCGACGGTAGGCTGGGTTCGGCGATCTGCGACCTTCGTGACGTGGAGGACATCCGTGCCAAAGTCAAAGAGGCAGCCAAGTTCTTCAACGACCGCATTGATGTGTTGATCAACAACGGCGGTATTGCATCTCCACAGTGGAAAGATGGCAAGACCATGGAGGACCTCTCGACCATTGATGAGTGGAAAGCGTACATCGACACCAACCTTACTGGTCCCTTCGCCATGTCTCAAGCTTGTATCCCCTACATGAAAGCCCGAGCATCTGATGTTGAACACGGCGCACACATCCAGAACGCCAACAACTCCAGTCCTGCAGGGCCATGCATCATCCACATCGGGTCCTTCCGTGCGCATCAGTCTGATCCGAACCAGGAGGGCTATGCTTCAAGCAAGTCAGGTCAGCTTGGTTTGATGCACTCCATGGCAATCAGCCTGGGTAGCCTGGGCATTCGAGTCAACCTTATCGCCCCCGGACGCATCAAGGTCGCACACGAGAGCAAGGAAGGCGATGAGAATGGAGCTGACTGGGCAGGCCAGATCAGTGAGAAGGACGTCTCTGATCACCCGACCAACAGGGCTGGAAGGCCGAAGGACATTGCTGATGCCGCGCTGTACCTCATCGAGGCGGGTTTCGTCACTGGTCAGGACATTACTGTTGATGGTGGAGCGCTCCGGAAGAAGAATGCCTAGAATAGGTCAAACGATGAGTGTGTGCGGAGAGCGAAAATCCAACATGAGAAACAAAAGCAGTAGTGTAGTTCATGTGAAAAATGATACCCGATGATACCAGTGTTCCAGTCAAGTCGAAGTGATGAACCAAAACTGAGAGTGTCGCGGAACAAGTCCGCTCGGATTTAGTTCGCACGGGCCTCTACTTCGCCTAAATCTAGCCTTGATCGTTGACGCATCGCGAAAAGTGACGCGCATCATTTCGACTCGTTGCACGCGCTCTCTCACCCTGATGCTTGCAGGGTTGTACATAGTTGCTTCTCGTGTCATTCCTTCCCTTCGTCAAGTTGGCTTCCATAATTAGCGCCAGGGAGCGAGCTACGACCATCACGACTAATGTCCGATTCTTCGCATTGCGCCCACGATACGGTCGGCCCATAGCGCATACGAACTTCGCTGCCTTTACTCTCCGCTCCAGAGCTACTCCTCGGTTTCGCCCATCCATTCGAACGTTTTCGAAGATCTACCGCTTACCCCTCGATCCTCAACCAGTTGCATCTAAACACACGAAAAGCGGCAAGGCGAATCACCTAGCAGAAGCGAAGGTACTCACACGTCTGATATATCAACCCCCCAAAGCTCCAATCGGATCAGCCTCATGCTCCCTTACGCAACCGCCGAACCTTGAACTCTCCGAGCCCAAGAACAAACATACAAAGCCTCCTGCGGAGTTCAATAGAACCGAGTTCTTGAGAAGAAAAGACATGTCGTGCAGCGTTGAGGTCGTCACAACGCCTACAGCTGATACGCCGGGAACGACGCTGGTTCTGCGGACGGCAAGCAAGCACTATGTTTTCGGCAACCTGGCAGAGGGCACCCAGCGGGCGATGGTGCAGCAGGGCACACGTCTGCTGAAGGCGCAAGATTTCTTCATGACAGGCAGGACAGAGTGGAAGAATATGGGTGGATTGATTGGCATGATGCTCACATTGGCCGACTCGACCACCAGCTCTTACACCACCGCCATGGATACCTTTCGTCTGGCTCAAGAGCGGGGAAAGAAAGGCGAAGCACCCGCGAAGCCGCACTTCGACATATATGGGCCACCGAATCTGAAACATACACTGGCAACGTGTCGGAGGTTCATATTCAGGAAGGGCATACCCATCAATGCGACCGAGTACGTGAAGCAGTCACCCGAGAAGGACGGCAATGGCGCTATAGTCCCGACGTGGGAGGACGACAATATCAAAGTTTGGGCTCTCTCAGTAGCGCCTGTCAACTCTGAAGTCGATGCGCAAGCGGAGGCTGATTTGGAGGCGCGGCGACGGTATTTCGATGAACACGAGAATACATTTGACGGACTCCAGGCTCCCGAAAATGAGAGCCCGGAAGACCGCGAGTTGAGGTACGACCGGATACGGACAGCGACCATCAAGTACATGTTCGATTCGAATTGGAAGATGGATACACTGGCAGAACGCCACATTTCTGAGGTACAAGTGCCTGCTCAAATATTCATTCGTAACCCCGATACACACGGCTTCTCGGCCTACCAAGGGCCGATGCCAGGGGGCAAAGAGCCTCTTCCTGACATTAAAGTCTGGACCAGGACGCCGTGGCCTGGCGCTATGATTCTGGCGCTACCACCGACTAGGCCAGCACCAGAGTGTGTTTCGTACATCGTGCGGTCGCATTCAGCTCGTGGTCAATTCGACGTCGCACGCGCGAAAGCGCTAGGTGTCAAACCAGGACCGGATTTCGGAAAGCTTACCAATGGCATATCGGTACCGAACGCGGACGGCGAGATGATTACCCCAGATCAGGTCATGGGCGCTGATAGGCCCGGTCAGGGTATCGCCATCTTGGACATCCCCTCAGTTGAATACATTGAAAGCACTCTTCAACGAGAAGAGCTTAGCTCTCCAGAGGTTATGACTGGCATTCGAGCTATCGTTTGGATGCTTGGTCCAGGCGTCGCAGGTCACCCAGATCTACTCAATTTCATGAACAAGATTCACAACGTAGAACACGTAATATCCTCTCTAGATACTGCGCCGAATCGCATCGCGCACGACTCGGTAGCAGGACAAGCTACGCGACTTGGGCAGATTGATCCGTCAAGATATCGCACACCCGTTTTCGATAACACTACTGTACCGCAAACAAGTATATACAGGACTGGCATGTCGACAGCACCGCCGTTGCCCTCCGGAGCCATCCGCGCTGACCGAGGCTTTGGCTTTAATCTCATGCCACAGTTTGCCACAAAGAAAAACACTATATCTAGTCTCTTCGTACCCGATGAAGTGGCACTTACAACGCCGCCTGAGGTTCTCGAATTGGCTCAAAAGGCTCAAGCGGAGGTCAAAAGCAAAAGCAGAGAGATGCAGATATGGAGTAAGCTACTAGCGCGTCGTGACACCGAGGTAACGACACTCGGAACAGGTTCTGCCCTTCCGTCCAAGTACCGTAACGTATCTTCCACATTGGTGCGTGTTCCTGGCATCGGCAACTACCTCTTAGATTGCGGGGAGAACACATTGGGTCAGCTTTCAAGAGTCTTTTCCCACGAAGAGCTCGTCGATATCTTCAAGAACCTGCGTATGATCTGGATCAGTCACTTGCATGCCGATCACCACCTAGGCACAGCATCAGTAATTCGTGCTTGGTACCAAGTAGCACACAATGCTGTTCCAAACCCCCAGCCCCTGGACCCTTCCGCGAGCAACATAGATCCTAGCGCATACGGTCTTGCTGTCGTATCCCACAGTGGTATGCTCCAATGGCTTAACGAATACTCAGCCATCGAGGACTTTGGCTACAGTCGAATTCTTCCTCTTCAGATCACTCCCAACGAATACCAGAATGGCTCGAGGTTGTCTATACTGAATTCGTTCGGAAAGACACTATCTGAGAACGCGGCCATACCGAAAAAACAGTATGAGAAACTGTTTGGTTTCAACGAAATACAAGCTTCCAGAGTAGCGCATTGCCACGGTGCCATGGCTGTTTCGATTACATTCCCACGTGATCCAGCAGACCTCGAACAAATCAAGCCACTCAAGGTCAGCTACTCAGGCGATTGCAGACCAAGCGGCCACTTCGCCAAGATCGGAGCAGACACCACAGTCCTCATCCACGAAGCAACTTTCGACGATGAACTACAGGGCGACGCGAAGGCCAAGAAACACTCCACCACCTCCGAAGCACTTGGTATCGGCGCGGCGATGAACGCGAAATCAGTAGTCCTCACGCATTTCAGCCAGCGCTACCAGAAAATCCCCGTCCTTCAAACCGTCACGGATGGCGAGGAAGCAGACCCACTACTCAACCCCCAAGAAGTCGCCGAAGACGTGTCCATGGAAGATAACGACGCGGAAGTCGACCCCACAACCGAAAACGCAGACAACATGGACATGCACCCCTCCATCCCCTCTTCCACCGCCGCCCCCGCTCCCGGTCCCGCAAAACCCATACCCTCTCTCCCCAAGGAAACTTCATCCTCGCTCCAAGAAAACGCCCGCGTCATCAAGGTGCGCAACAAGGATATGAAGGTCGCCATTGCATTCGACTACATGCGCGTGAAGATTGGCGAGATATGCGAGATGGAGAACTTTAATGATGCGTTGAATGAGTTGCTGGTTAAGGATGAGGATACGGATGCGGCGTTGGAGCCGGCTGCGAATGGGAAGGGGAATGGGAAGAGGGCGAGTGAGGATGATGGGGAGGGGAAGGGGGGGAAAGGGAAGAAGGCGAAGAAGGGGAAGGAGAAGAGTAAGAGGAATAACTGAGATGCTTTGCATGCGGTGTGGTGGGTGAATGAGGATTACGACATTGATGTACATTATTGTAGAAGGAACGGTGCCTGCTGTGTATGCATAGATTAGATCGAAAGGATCGTCACCTGAATATCCACATGGTATTTCAGTGTCATCATATCGATGTGTTGTATTTAACTCGGGTTTTCCGCCTGCCTAGCCATGAGAGTGCGGAGCATAGTGCTCATGAGCTTGCCGTGTCTACCCTTGAATGCGGCGCCGATATCGCCAAACGCCGTTATACACCGGGTATCATTCGCAGTAGCCCAAACCAACCAATACGAAAAGGAAAAAACTCTGGGACAGGTCATCTGATCTCCTAACCGGGAACATAGTAAAGTTTTTGGTTAGCCGAAGTCATGCTACGCCTGGCCGCGGTGTCGCAAGTGTCGAGATGCTTCTAAGAAGTGTTGTTTTCTTCAGCCGCTGGGCTTATCGTCGTCGTTATCCCAGGAAGGATCCGTGCTCGCGAGTATCATCTTGAAGACATTGCCAGTGGACGGCTCCGTATCGACAATGTCCATAGGAACAGTATAATGCTGTAAATTGTCGTTGTCGAGATATTCGAGGCGCTGTTTCCCAAGCGCGTCATTCCCGAAGCGGATGAATTGAATACCGACATGCTGCAACTTGCCAGCCTTCCACAGATTCTTAGTCAGGTTCTTGATGTGATCTTGTATGGTGGTAACGGAGTATGAACCTGGCGACCATACGCCGTCTGTGAGAATGTAGATGTTGACTGAGGGCTTTTCCTCTACTCGTGGGGCAAAGGAGAATCGCTTGCTTGCCGCGCTCTGTTGCTGGTTTTGGTAGTAGGGTGGAAGGATATTACTGAGTGCGATACCCATTTGGCTTTGACCGTATGGTTTCACCATCTCAAACTTCCTAATGAGACTTTTTCGATCCTTGCTACGACCTTTGCGCTCGGGACTGTTGGCAAAATGTAACTCAATACCATCTGGTGTCAGACTTTTGACTAGGTACGCCAGAGCTGCGAAGACGTTTTGAACTTCTTTCCAACATGGTCGCATGGATTGAGAGTCATCAACAAGAAAGATCTGTAAAACTTTCGTGAGTAAGCTTGTCACAATCTTGTCAAGCGTAATGAAATACCTGGTCTCGCCCGCCCAGTCTTTTAAATGATTCCCCGCCTGGCAAAATAGTACGTGGCCACGTTTTCTTCTTGGTTATGTATGCCAAAATCTCCGTGATAGAGGCTTTAGGACGGGCTGAGGAGCCGACAGGTGCACGATACCGTGGAACAGGACCGGATATAGGAGCTAGTGAAGTCCATTGCGACTCATGTTTAGTATCGGGAGCTAGGCTGTAGGGATCATGGATTGGTAGTTTTGCCCTTTCAACACTCGAAGTCCTAGAAAGTGGAAAAGAAAAATGCGGCTCGATCGCTAAGCGTCTACCTGAAGGACGAGGTGATCGAAGAACTTGCACATCGTTGCCAGAGTGCAGAGATAACTCGTTTATATCTAAGCCCAGCCCAGCCGCCTGGTTTGGGGGTGAAGTGATAGGCATGGAATATTCGTTATAGTCGTGTGGTGAATGTCTATGCCTGGCTGACTCGGGCGCGAGCGCAAATGGTGTCGCTAAGTCTATAGCTTGTGTGAGATCGTCGTAAACTGTCCGCGCATCTGGCCTTCTGGCCGGATCTTGCACCATCATTCTGCTGACAATGAGAAGAACTGAGCCAACAACATTGTCCATGGCTGTTCGGAATCGTTGGTTTACCTCCTTGTGCATGTTTCCTACAACCGAGAGGACTTTCGTGGTATCGTGAAAACAGCCGCTATAGCCCGTGTTCATGATATTCGGAATGGCGTCGGCAGCTTGAACGCGCTGATGATGGTAGTCATCCAATCCTCTTTGGCCTAATACAGACCATACCGAGGCTTCACTAATCACACATGCCAAGGCCCAAACATCCTTAGCCGGACCAACTTGCTTGATGCTTTGTTGCCTGGACCTGTCTGTCTCGCCACGAAAGTATTCAGGCGCACCTTAGGAGTGTGTCAGGTCGGGTCATGTCCGAACTCTGGTAGTAACTTACTGTACATCTTCGTACCGCGCACATCGCGAATTTGCGTCGGGTCCGACTCATCAGCCACCACGAATCCAGCGAGACCAAGATCTGCAAGTTTGAAAGAGACACTGTATGGACTGTCCCCGTCCTGATCCGATACGAGAATTTTGTCCGGTTTGATGTCGTTATGTAGCCTTCGAAGGTCAGTTTGAAGTAAGAAGAGAGGAAACCCATGCTTATGAACTTACCCCACTTTGTATGAGTAAGGATTATGTGGATCGGGAAGGCGGTGTATACAAGCTATTGGCTTGATGAACTGTATGAAGTTTTTCCAGAATTCCAGAATGTCGACCTTGGTCGTTGGCGGCTCGGTTCGTTTGAAGAACTCAGTGAGTGTACCCCCACCAACATATTCGCGCAATATAATACAGCTTTCTCCCTGTCTCCACGAACCATAGAAGCGAGCCATGTATTGCATCGCATCTCGGCCGCTCGGGTAGCTCAGTAGTGTCCTGTAAGCCTCTACCTCGTTGTTGTGCAACTTGGCATAGTCCGATGGGCTCGATTTGAGGATGAAGAAGTTGGTGGGTGGGATGTTGAGTTCGTCCTAAACGCAACCAAGTCAGCTGCTTGCTGAAAATCTGTAGACTTACGCGCGCGCACGCAATTAACATACTGTGATGAGATGGTTGTACTCCTCGAATAGCTCAACCTTGGAGATAGTCGCGTCCGCCCCTTCTCTCAGGGGTACTCTATGCTTCAAGGGCACGACCATGTTTTCATGTAGCCATGTATCGTGCAGTTGGTGAGAATCGAGCCGTCTGGGGCAAAACTTCCACTGCGCTTTGTAGAACTCTTCGAATATGTGCTGGATAGCGTCCGGCCATGCGTCACAGGTCAGGAAAGGTAGCCCGGCATCTGCCATGTGATCGCGTCGTATGAACGTAGATAGATAGATACCCATGTCTATCGAAAGTAGGACTGAAAATACAGCTAAATGACTGGTTTGGACGGCGTCCTCGTAGCTGGGGTCGCTCTCCACGTATAACAGGAGCCTTCGTGCTCTTTCCGTAGTAAACCAGGATCGGAGGCTATTCACTGACACAATCGGTCGGGTAACCAGTGGTTGGGACTCAACTACAGCGGACGCTGTGCAATCGTCTAAGTGTTCGAAGAAACCTCGAAGTTCGGAACTCGTTGTTTTGACGGACTCCAGAGATCTTCTTTTGGTCGGTTGTACTAAAGAAAGGCCTTTCTTGGGGGCATCAGAACACACGCCTTTCAATGACTGAGCAGAAGGAGGATCATCCATCGCTGAATTGCTTTGCGTGATCCAATCTTCGATATTAAGAATCATGCCACTCGGGAGAGCTGACTGTAAGTTGATCACGGTGAGACTGTTCTTGCTCTCATGACTTGAGCTCGTAGGAAGCTCAAGTAATCGAGACGAAGTCGATGGAGTGCTCTTTTCTGTTGTGCAGCAAATTGATCGATGAGAATCGAACTCGTTGTTGTCGAAATCCCTCACAGCCGCAGGCAAAGATCGTAAGGCGAACGCATGCATGCATGAGCCAATGTGATCCAAGAAAGTTCTGCCTGACCAATGCGATATATCCGTGCTTGTTCGTTCTGTCGCGGTATCTGCTTCCCCGGGTTCTTGCTTTTTGGTTTCCCATTCGACTTCGCGCATGGAACACACGGGGCATACATTGAACTCTGGCGCGCTGTACATCTTGGAAATCGAGGGAAGATCGATGGAGTAATCCTCAGTAGTAACTTGTGCATGCGCGCGTCGTATGTGGTCATGTAGATCGGTCTCATCTCGGAAGTCAGTACGGGGCCGACAAAGGGGACAGCTCCAGCCTCGGAATGACTGATGATCATTGACTACGTGGTCTTTCCATGCCTGAAACTCGTTGAACATCGGATTTTCCTGTATACACTCGCTCAGATAGCAGGTGTAGGGTTGTATATCATTTGAGAGATGTTTCCTGAGCATGTTAGTCATCCTAGTCTTAGTGGCAATTGGTAGGATGTGTAACCTCCACTGGTCTTCTGAAATTTTGCATGTCGATAGGTTCGATCGGCAGTATGGGCATACTAGGGGCTTTGCGTCATCTCCCGACTCGGGGGCTGGTGGATAGTCCGACTGACGAGCAATGATGGTTGGTGAGCCGGCCATCTGAAGTTTTACAGCAGCAGTTTCGGCCAGCTGTTCAGGCAAGAGTCTAGACATTTGGTCAGAAATGATGGCAGACCCCCAAAGGTTAGAGACTTGCATTGTATCATCCTTTATCTTTTGCAGCCCTAAATTTGGCCGCTAGATCTTGTTAGTCTGTACTAACTGGAAACGAGACAAGCGGATCGAGAAAGGTGAACCCTACGACGTGTCTGCTTGTACTTGGAGAACTTTTAAACTTACTTCTCTCTTCTGAGCGTATACGAACCTGTTGTGCCTCTTGATGTTCGCCTTCAATAATATCAGTTGTTCATGCGATACATCGCCCACTACGGCCCAGCTCTTCGGAACGGCCAGTTCTTGGTAAGAAGTCCTCCTCATCAAGGCCTCGTTCGACCTTGTCGCTATACGCGGAATTTTTGCCGAGCTTAGCACGAACTTCAAGTGCTCGGTGAGCTCGAGGTAAAGGCTTCCATCTGCCTGTTCCTCCAAAGCACGATCAGCCGCCGTGAACCGCGACGGAACGCCACCTACATCGTGTCCAATCGCGATACCCAAATCTATCAAGGCCGCAAGTATATCTCCGACGCTCTTTTTAGCTTCTTGTAAACCGATGGGCGTCTCGTGTCCGTCGCTTGTATTCGTTCGCGTTGGTATCGCATTCGAGTCGGAGGCGGCGGCTGGCGGCTGGCTACCCGTTCGCTGAGTTTCGGCCACTTCTTTACACTTTCGTAGCCATGCTATTAGTATGCTTAGAGTGCTTATGACTACCTTCTGAGCCTCTGAATCATGGTACAGATGGAGCTCCAGCGAATTCGGCTCCTCGGCGCTTGCGCCGACCCAGGCACCCCAAAGATTGAAGTCAGCCAGCCGGTTCTCCGCCCAGTGCTTTTCAGTCAACGCTGGAACCTCAGCGCAAGTTCGGAATTCCTGCTGGCATTCTTGAGTGACCGCTCGTATTGTAGCAGTATCGTATACTGTGTGCAATGGCATTTCAGTTGCCATAACAACCAAGTTCACAATTGGCCTGTGAAGGGCGGTGGGAGGGGGGTATTTCACATGGAGCGGCTAGAAAGGAAGGTGTTCACTACCAGAGATTCTGTCTCCGCTGTAGAAATCACCGGAAAAATTCCAAGGTTTGTCGCTTTGTTGCTCTTAAGTAGAGGTTAATAGCTTCCGAGGCTGAGGCTGCAGCGAGAGAAAGCGGGGCAACCTGCTGCCCAGCTGAGAGTCAAAATGCCGCATCATGTTATTTGCGCGCATTGGCACGGTAAACTTCTCGAGCAGATCAGCTTCACACACATACGACTGTCCACACACCAATGCCTGCATCCTTCCGCACGTTCGTTGATGGATACCTAGGCAGCGATGATCTCGGCGACAGGGACGGACGGATCCACTCTATGGGTCCAGGTGCTGAAGCGGCGCTGTCCTACAGAACTTACACCGGCGAAGCTGATCTACGACGAGCCAGAGACAAGGTATTGTCTCGCGTAGGCAGTCTAATCCTGAAGTTGAGACGAAGAGTGAGTGAGCTCCGGTCGAGACAGCAATTTGAGGGCTAACGAAGCGTTGGTTGGGTTAGCCCGAACGACCCTCCCGTACAGCCTCTGGTGTTGCCACATCTTCACAGTTCCCTCCAGAAATAGATGCCTCGGCTAGCATTGAGGGGAGAGAGCTACGTAAATACTCACCATTTCTGACCCAGTCATTGTATGAGGTGTTCCGCTCGAAAAACTATCTACCGTGTCATTGCCCGGATCGAAAGAATTTATCTGGTCTCTATGAAGATCATATCTGCACCCTGAGGCTTGACGATAGGTGGGAAGTGCCTGGCAACGAAACCCATTCGTTCTTTGGTTCGGCCGTTGCGAAGAATCTGGCATCAGGCAACAATTGGATTCAGATTCGGATAGAGTTGCCTAAGTACCGCTCTCCAGTTGTACCAACCAGGCAAAATTGCTAACTAAGATATCAGTATTGACACCAGAGTAAGGGCCAGTGATAGCATCAACTATAACAACAGCCACACTCCTATGATGTGCCCATCGGAACAAGCGGAAGAGCGTTTAGTAGACGTTTGTAAATTCTTCGAAGCAGATTGGGACTATCCGGACTGCGAAATCCCACTACGAATAGAGAAGAACCGGGTTGATCCAGCTACCTTCATGCGATGCCCTGTTCCAGTTGATACGTATCTCGAGCACTGTGCTCCAATCCCGCTGCTACAACTATTGGAAGACAACAGCTTGTCTTCGAGGAGCAAACTTTCTCTTGCCTTTACACTGTCAAAGTCATTCTGGCAATACTACGACTCTGAGTGGATGAAGATCAAGTGGGACTTGGAAACAATCAAGATCCTAAGGCAGACGAAGGGTACGACATCAGGTGTGGATTCAGAGTGTCGTATGCCGTTTCTCGAACTGAAACCCTCGAACTCTGCCTTGATATATTGTGAAAAAGAGACACAGATGAAAAGGGAGGGTAATCCACTGGGGGAGCTGCATCCGTACCCCTACATCCTGGCCCTCGGCATACTACTTGTTCAGATGTGTTTGAAGATTACGCCCAGCAACATCTTGGTGCCTCCCAGCAATACAGGAAACAACAGAATTTACATGCATTACCGGAAGGAAATGGAAATGGAACAAACATCTTGGCCAATGCTCGATCTCCACGACGAGTATAGGAAGATGTATCGAGAGATAGTCAGACACTGCCTGCCACCGAAACGGGACGGATGGACAAGCCCTCTGTTTTCCCCCGAGCTTGACGCAGAAGGCCGACGTGAACTGCTTATGAAGCATGTTGTCGGCCCGTTACACGGACTTCTCAGCTACGCTAATGGCCTTACTTCAGACGCGACTAACGGCATTACAAGTCAGAAAAATCACAAACCAGACGTGACGAACATGATCCAGAGATCCCAAAGGTATGCTACAAGGAACCCAATAGTCAATATTATGCTAAGTCTGTCACAGTGAGAGAGCAGGGGAGTGGATAGAGTGTCTTCGGTGGTCACGGCTCCTTTCCCACGTTTCCGACTCACTTTCAAAACCAGATTCGCCGTTCAAAAGACCTAGAATTGCAATCATTGATACCGGATACGATCCAAAAGCAAGAGGTTTAAGTCATCGAATGAGAAAAATCAGAGGTCGCAACCATTGGAAAGACTTTTGGGAAGACGAGCAGGACCCCTGTGATCACGATGGTCATGGTACATCGATGTTGTCGCTCATGTGCGATGCTGCGCCTTTTGCTGAAATCTTTGTCGCTCGGATAGCCAGAACAAGTCGCGACCTGTCTGAGAATCCAGCAACAACTAGCGAAAATCTTGCTAAAGTGAGTGACAGAACCGAAAGATTAGCGTCTTGTTACTAATAATTCTCCCTGCTCAGGCTATACACTGGGCTGTGAATAAACAAAGAGTCGACGTCGTATCAATGTCATTAGGGTGGGAAAAGGAGCCGTATTCGAGGGAAAGACACCCGGTCATCAGTAATGCTATATTGGAAGCACTCAACAGCCAAGACCAAAAGGTACTATTCTTCGCAGCGACATCGAATGATGGCAGCAGGAGTCACGAATTCTTCCCCGCCAAACACGAGCATGTTTTCTCTATTCGAGCGACCGATGCCAACGGATACCATCAGGGACCTAATGCGGCCTTGCCGGAGAGTGGCGAAGTAGTCTTTGGAACGTTGGGGATCGAAGTGCCCACTGCGAGTACTGGCAATACGGCCCGGATAGTACTAAGAAACGGCGCCTCGCCAGCCACGGCTATCGCTGCTGGACTCGCTACTCTGGTCATTGGATACACGACAATCAATAAGCCATGTGGAGTTTGGGATGACATACGGACCCATCATGGCTTCCAAAAGTTTCTTTACAATGTCACTAACACATCCGAGTCACGGAAACGCTTCTTCACACTGGAAGACTTTTACATGGAGAAACATTGGCCAAATCTGAACCATCACTTGGGTATTGCTTCTTGGAGGTAGAATTTACATGTTGAGGTCTAGATGCTCTACACATTCGACACGACCAGGACGAGGGCGGATGACGACCAGGATCCCAGCAAAGACTGCCAACAAATTGACTACGTGGCAGATCATACGCACGAGAAGGCTCACGTATGCATGAGAAACGGTCGAATCACAGCTGCTCCTGCTAATCAGGCTGAAGGAAGGCCAAGGCAATCTTACTCAGCCGTCTTGCTCAGCCCACTCCGTTGAATACACGTCTTACTGACCTTCAAGCACAATACTCGCACAGTTCAACGCACGATCTTTACGAGGCCTTAATCATTCTAGAAGCTTCACTAATTCGCAGCAATCATATGATTACACCGAGATGCCATCTCACCAAGAAGACAAGTTGTTCTACATTCGAGCCCCTAGCCTCGACCACCTCCGCAATGGTCCCATCAAAATCGGCAACATCATCACCGATATATTTCTTCCTCAAGACCCCATTGCGCACTTCGAGCCTCTTGCGAATATCATCGATGGTGCAAGCTTGAGCGAAGGCACACGGGAGCGGGGCGATCATGGCTCTGTAGGGCTGAACGTATCTGCCAAGCTCTATGCAGCGTTTGGCAGTCAAGCGAAAGGGAAGCGCAGCGCGGATACTAGAACGGTGTATGACTTCGACAACGTTGACACTTTGATGCTGGAGAGAAATCCACGGGCTGCGGAAATGACTGCGCTACGCGACGAAGATCCTGAAGTACACGATGCACTCAAGAGAGCACCTGTTTACGTAATCACTGGCCTGAAAATTGCAAGAGGTCTGAAATATTCTACCATACACTCCAAAGAAAGCGAGGTTGGTCTGGGCGCACAAGGCAACGTAACTAAAGAGGTTGCGGTTCGAGCCAACTTGGACAAAAACGCCGGTACAGATGGCACCGGGTCGTATACTGTGCTGGGTGATGTCATTATAGCCTATCGGCTGCATATCTTCAAGAAAGAGGGTTGGAGATGGAGAGGCGAAGCCGCGTTGGAGACCAGGACATATTGGCCCGGCAATGCAGGATTCTTGAGCAGAGAAGATGCCAAACCGGAAGTTGAGGTGGAGACTGAATCGCTGTCGGCGCAAGATCTGAAGTACTTTGTTGAAGACGAAGGATATGGTGAGATCGAAAACATTGATGTGAAAGACGCTGAGGAAGAGTGGTCGATGATGTGTGTCGAGGATTAGTTTCATTGTTAGTTTCTGGGCTTTTGGTGTTGAGCTGTCTCTTTGTGTTAATCGCAGTGCACACTAAAATGATATAATCTCATTGCAACGCTACTTTCGCGCGGATGGTCATAATCACCGCGTCTTTCTTTCGTGTCGCAAAGATGCGGGTTCGCACATGCTGAGAAGCGGAGGCTGCCCGCCATGACGGAGCTGCCTAAGTACCCCGCTAAGAGTCACTGCCCCACCAAAATTTTGATGCTGTTTAAACTTTGGCTCGTGAACTGCGCACATATTGTCAGCCACTTTAATGCCTCCAAGGATAAAGCACTCCTTAAACTGATCCCATAAGCAAGGCGCAATGTCGAAACCAAAAGACCTACGCAGTCTCATCGACCTCACCAAAACCACACAAGCACTTCTCACGCACTACCAATCCTCTCTCGCGCCCACCAAAGATGCCGCTTCTACTACGTCCGAAACGGAGATAGCAGATCCTCTCGATGTTGTCAGAGCCTCGACTAAGCTCCTCAAATCGCACACGACGACGCTCTCACTCCTCCTCATCAACCCGCCCCTCACACCCTCCGCGATAATAGCGAAAATCGGCGATGTGACCTCAGGTCCACTGAACAGTATGGTGACCGCGGCTTCGTATATACCACGAGAGGGTCAGAAGGGCGATATCGGAGACATAATGCGCACCGAAGTCAAAGCGCAGGTACGGAGATTGCTAGGGACCTGGGGAGAAGTTCTCGCCATGATCCTGAAGATGGCAGAGAAAAGACAAAGCGCGAAAGACAAAGACACCGGTCCCTCTGAGAGCGAGAAGCAGGAAGTCTTGTCCTCGACTGGTGTACTATGGGACGTATGCGACGCGCTGTTGAAGCTATGCGAAGACGGCGTTGTAGGACTAGTAGTCAAGAAAGCGCAAGAGTACCGCGCAGTCCTGCTCGATGCGATTGAGGAGCTGAAAGAATGGGGCGAGGATGTGGAGGACGAAGACGACGACGAAGCAGAAGGCAGCGACGACGAAGACGAGATCTTTGGCGCATCGAACAAGATTGGCAAGGATGACAAGGAGCTGAAGGAACTGCTGGATACTAGCGTCAAGAAGCTGAAGATGATTGGTATGCTGTACCAGGCCTTGATCAAGAGGAGGTTGAAGACGTATCCTGCATCGTCCACGCTCGAACCGACTGCGTCAACGAACGGCACGGCATTGCCACCATGCAAGAAGCTAGATGCGCTCGTGAATACTCTCAAGACGATACCTGAGACGGTCGACGACATCGCGGGCGCGTTCTACGATCTCGACGACGACGAAGCGAAACAAACTTTGGATAAATGCTGTGGTCAGGCAAACAGCGCAATCGAGCTGATCAGGCAGAGCTGGGCTGGAGAAGACGATGAGTTCACAGTGTGGTCTGGTAAATGGGCAACCGCACTCGAAGCTGCGTAAACAAAAGAACATAGCCCGAGACCATTTCAACATCACCAACCACTCGCGCACAGCATTAGACATGCAGCGATTCAAATGAACGATACGGTATCAATTGCGATATACAAGCGATTGTCGCATTACAAATTTCTAAACAACCAACGCGCCCTTCGTATCACCCCTCCAGATATTTGACATCTACAATCCGAAGACAGCAGCCATACCCATGGCAACAACACCGTAGCTAGCAAGCTTGCCAGCGGCGGCGTTCTCAGTCTGCTCAGCGACGCCAGAGCTGGTGGGCGACATGGAGCCGCTCATGGTGGGGGATCCGCTCATCATGCTGGACATCATTGAGCCGGTCATCGAAGCGCCAGATGAGGGAACGGCAGTGGGGATGTCGGAGAGGGTTACACCGGCGGCGGCGCAGAGGGAGGAGACAGCGGGGGCAAGGCCTAGTAGTCGCGTTAGATATGGACGAAGATGATAGGTATGTAGGGTATGCAAAACGTACTGGAAATCTCGTCCTGCTCGCATCGCTCGGGTGCGCAAGTGAGGAGCGAGTTCTCAATGGCAGAGCGGCCGCTGGTGCACTGGCAGTTTGTGTCTGTCACACCGCAGTTGGAGCTGGGAAGGGCAGCGACGAAGCAGGGGATCTGTTGATTGGTGTGTTAGTTGGTGATGCTAGATGCGATGTGCCCATATCGCGATCGCGATCGTCTTGATGTGGAGATGTGGGCTCCGAAGTCCGATCCGATCGGGGACAGGAGAGGAAGGGCAACATACAGCGCACTGGGGGATACCACTCAAATCCTGAGCACCAACGAAAGCGAGCGAAGCCGCGACGGCGAGGACGGTAGCCTGGAAACGCATCTTGATTATATGGGATAATATGTATTGGTGATGGTATTCGATATGTGAAAGATGGACTGGAGTGAGGGAATGTCGAAGTGAGATGGAACAGGGTTGAGCGAGAAAAACGATGGGACGGAGAGGGGGTCTATGTACTGATTTCGATTCTAGTTAACCAATACCTTGGTCCAAGCCTGCTCCCTAACGCAGCAATAGACTCGTGGAGATTAACATTGGAGTTACCCGGTGATCGTCCCCAGGGATTGCCGCGGTTTGTCGCAGAGCCTTGGTATGCAGTTGACTATCTTCCCCAGTACCCCTCCCTGGGCGCTGTTGGTCTCCTTGATCTACTGCGCCTTCAATCGCACCTAGGTATTCTAGAGGGGTGTATCTCGTCGAGTTACGGGCGACGGATGCGCAGCGAGAGCTTCGCATAGGTGTGTAATGTGCCTCGGAAGGAGGGTTAGGTTGCAGTTAGAGTTTGGGATGGCGCCGAACTTGCGGTCCTTTAGCGTTAGCTAAGCGGCGTGCTGGCACAGCTGTGGAGATGGATGGTGGGAGGCGGCCTTGCTTTTCTTTGCTCTGCGCAATGCGACGGTGCGATTTCTTGTCGCCGGCCCAATCAGGCGGCCTGCGGAGCTGTGTCAGGGCTGTTTTGGCAGGCCCTGCGCATGGCAATCCAGACCTTTTTGTCTTGGTTGTGTAGGGATGCTGTACCCGATAGAACACCACAACGGCTTTTGCTGACTTCTCCTCTTTTTGCTCTCTCATATCACGCTTGCTGACAGCCTTGTTAAATTGCTTTTCTGTTTGCACAGCGAACGCTTTGGGGGACATGCGTTCTTCGTGCGGCACCGGATACCGACCCTGCGTTAGACGAAAGTATGTCCCCTTGGCGTGCGGATGGGGAAGATGCCGTCGACGGTTCCAATGGCACGGTGGCGTAGTGCACCGCTACGGTAGACTGGACTTTGGACGTGGAGCTTCCATCATCGAACGCTTAGTCTTTTGGAGTAACATCTTGCGCTCCGCTACTTAAGATTGTGTGCACATCATCGAATGTCGACAAGATTGCTCGGAATTTGATGCCACTATACCGCTACCAAGAGCGCCGGGTTGTGTTGCTGACGTCCTGGTTCCGACAAAGGAAGGCGACGCGTGAAAATGGGTCGCAAGATGCAGGTACGCGATAAGCGGCATGCAGGCCTTAGATCACTGTCCCCACCAGCATCCCTTTTCTCCTTCCACAGCACTTCGATCTCTCTGCCATAGCACTATCGCTCACAATCCCATTGTTATCTTTTGCCCTCTTCTAAGTATCGACGATCGATCAAACCTCGTCTCGAGCCGAGAGTTCGTGGTTTATCTTCCATCGCGACGATCCCAGGTTCTCGAATCAGCGCACGGCCCTTCTCGCGGCATCTGAAACACAGGGCTCGTGAGTCGCTCGCCTATGCACATGGGCAATGTCGTCTCATATTCCTTTTGCATGGTGACGAAATCATGCTTTTCTGCATGTAAAGGTGTCAACGCCGTTGACGCTGCATGCATTCGGCAGCGATGAAACCGGAAACGCGGCACGGTACATAATCAGTCCAAACAACGCGCGCGGGGGTTTCAGACATATTGCGACCGTTGTCCCACGTCCAACAGTCGCCGCTGGCTGCTGAGGTCTAACAGTGATGATGCGATTGGTTTCGAATCAGTGCTGGCGGAGTGAACTCTGTGCATATGATCTGTTGTATGAGGCAATTGATTGTATTCAACACCACGAATTGGTTGACGCGAGTCTGGCAGCACGAGCTGAACCGTGAGCCTATGAAAAGGCTGTAGTGACTAGCAGTACATGAAGACTCCGATAAACATGCAATCCTCCCGAACCTGACTCTTACTGAATGTACTCAAACTTGTGTGATGCTATTGCTAACCTCCAGAAACACCGTGTCCAGCCCGGTGAAGGTTGTAATCTAGCCAGAACCCTATCGTTGATCGTAAAATGAGATCTTTGCAAAGAGAAGTCGCAGTCGCAGAACGGGGAGGTATATTGCTAAGCCGGAAGCCGAAAGAGATTAAGGAAAGAAAAGGCCGTGATCGCAGACACGGCGATCCGTGGACCGAAAGTAGACATACAGAAAAGAAAAGAGATTTCCAAATGTACCAAAGATTGAAAAAGGATCGCTTTTGATCACGAGTGTTGAGGTGCTGACAGAGCAAAAGCTCGTATAGCTGAGGTGCTGTTTAGAACATGCCACCCTCCATGGGCTGTTGACCGTTGGCAGGACGTGGAGGTGACCCATTGCGTCCGGTGAAGCCGTTTTGAGGCATTGCTGGCGAGGGTCCCATTTGGCTTTGTGCGTCTCCGCGCAGGCTCCTGCCTTCACTCGACGCCTTCCGCAGTCTGCCCTTTGGTTGCTGCGATTGATTCATCACTGCGTCGGACGAGTTGGTGCGGAGTGGTTCAGCGTAAGGGGCTCGAGGTCCATCCATTCCATGCTGCACAGCAGGATCATACGGTGATGGTCCCGTTGGGCTTTGGCTTTGGCTTTCACCGCGGCCAAATCCGAAACGTCGCCTCATAGGGTTGATTGGAGGAACAGGGGGAGCGTTGTTTTCCATGCCATTCTTCAGAGAAGCACCAGCTGGGAGATTGATGGTGTCAATCGAAGACGTTGTGGAAAGGAACACCGGCTCCGAGATCTCCGACTTCGCGATGGACTTCTTTCGTAGC